CTATAGTGCTACATTGCTGTGATATGAAAAATCATAAATATTATTTAATTTAATACATTTTTGTAAAAGTTGTACAATAAATAAAAAGTCATAACTGCTTTAGAAGAATTATCTTGTCACATGGTACATAACGAGGGGCAGGGGTAATGTTCATCCTCATGAGAGTGAACAAAATCATACTTGAGTAATAACATATTAATGTCTTCATTTCATTTTGTATGTCTTATTTTGGTTCGACATAAATATTAATAAAATGATTGAATAATATTTTTTGTTATTGTAGTTTAAATAAAAAATACTCCGTATGAAAATATATGAACCACATATTAATCCACAAAGAAAGAATATTTCCAAAGCATAAAAATGGGGAAGTGAGAATAATCTTGAAGTGCTATCAAGGAGCTTATATGACTCTTTAATGAAATTATATGTTTAGAATAAATTTCAAAATACCGCTTAATTTTTAGCCAGCATCCTCTGAAAACGATCTGCATTTTTATTTATTTAATCGTGCTAAGTACCTTGTGGTCTGATGACATCACTGTTGATCTCCCAAAGAGAAGGTTACAAGTTTGAGTCACATCTCAATAAAAGATGTTGGCATTAACTGGAGCAGATATTTTAATAGGTTTAGATGGATATGCAAAACAACAAAATCGTCTCAATAGATATTTTATTTCAATTTGAACCAACACATTTATTCTTAAAATTATTTCTCTTTCCTCAATTTTTTTTGTGGAAATTAGCCGCATAGTCAAAATTTTATGTCCAACATATCATTTGTGTCCCTCTTATTTTCTCTGATCTTTTCATTTTTAACTTTTATATTTTCAATTTTGGGTTTTTATTTCAGTTTTAGATAGGTTCCTCGAACTTCATGTGTCTATATTCATACTTCTATCACCCTTTTCATCTCGCCACGTACCTTTTCCTCTCTAATAATTCGAGTATATCATCGAGAGGGATGAGATCCGTGACTTCGGAGTGAAGCTCCAACCGGCAATTTTCGTAGAATCGGTGGCTCCTTTTGAGAACCTCATCTAAGCGATTGGAGGACAACCTGGACACGCCGTTGAAGTAGAGTCTGGAACAGGCGATGGAGTTCTCAACGTCATGATAGGGATACTCCGTGGGTGCGCAATCCAACTTTCAATCGTCTGCGTGTCCGGCCTTTCGTCCAGCACCGTCAAGGCTGTGACCTTTTGGCGACTGGCAGCCAATTTTCAAGCGCACCGAACTGAGACCTGTGAATATGCTCGAGGTCGATATTGGGCGGAAACACTAGGCAACTCACGATGGAGCTCGTGAAAAGGTATCCCAGCCTTGGCATCAGGATTGACAATTCTGGAATTCAAAGCGATGCAACTCCAGGTGTGGATTTCTGCCTGAGAGGCTACCTAGGATCTGGAGTAGTTCCGTATCAGCTCCAAACTTCTCGAACAACAACAGATGAGTTTGATGTTTTTAATCACAAGCAAATTTTTCCGATTTAAAATTAATCGTACTCAAGTTCACATTTATGAAATTAAACATAGTTTTGGTTCCCTCAATTGATGTCTTCTTCATTTTTTGATTGAATTTTGATCCATGTCGTCATTCAAGAAAAAAAAACATTACAAATTAGAGTATATCCGGGTTTCAAGGTGTCATAAAAGATAAAGAAGTATGAGCATATCCTTGTCACCTATTGGTAAACCCCCAGATCAAGTACTGCTTTAAAAGACCAGTAGGATGATAGTGAAATGCTAAAAAAAGAGGAAGAGGAGAAGAAAATGTATATGCGGAGTTTTTATATTTTTCATTGGTACCTTTTGTTTTTATTTATACTTTTCTTTGAGTCATCGTGTCTTGTTCGTAAACTCATGTAGATGAATTTGATGTTTAAGTATTCCCTTGTTTGGATTGAGTATGGCCAAGACCACCTTAGAATGGCCATTTTTTTATTGAACCGATAAGACTTAATGGATGTTAACTCATGTATAATCTTTGTAAGGCCGCGACCACCTTACCTTAGAATGTTTGTAACAAATCCAAACTTGGATTTGTTAGCAATTATCATTCAAAAAATTACTCATGCACTATTTTTTCTTTTCTAGGTAAATTACAATCTTTTGACGTTTCGCTAGAACATTCGTTTTGCTAACAATTGAACTTCAAAGTTGAGTTGTACCAAACCTTGGGGGCTTGATTATTCTGTAATGACTCGATAGTGCTTCAACGTTTGATTTTGTGATTTTGTAATATTCACTTTGTTTACATCTGTTATGAATGATTTTTTTGTAAACAATAGTTCTTTATTTGCTGCACTGGAATTTTGAGCACACACATATGAAAAATACATAATGGTTGATATAGACTTCATTGAATGGTTGCCTTGTATTTGTGTAAGAGATACATTCAAATATCAGTGACATAGATATTGAGTCACTCGAAGTTTACTTTGACAAATTAAGACAAAAGTTAAGTGCGCTAACATTCACGTCCTAGTGTTCAACTATCTAGTTTTCTGTTTGATATTACAACTAGCTGAAAACATGTTTAATTAATGTCCAGATATTGTGAAAGAAACTGGGTGCTAAAGAACACCAGATACGTAGTGTGAATCCTCAAGTTGAAAATGTGGTTAGAAGCATATATTACATGTATATTGGAACTAATTAACTCCTTGTTATTGAGGTCAGTAATAATCTCTCCTTTATTATTCCACATTACCAAGTAGGAAATGCATTGCAACATTACTTGTAGTGACAAAAACAAATATGGTGGTGTGGACCTATACCAGACATTAAGATTGTAATTAAGGGACTATATGTTTTAGCATTAATCCTTCTCATTATGTGTCGATTAATCTTGTTATATTTTTTATATTGCAGGTTTAGGAGAAATAACTTATCATCCAATAATTTGTGTTGTGCTTGTTTATATATTTCTATATAAAGATGATTTTAGTAGGGCACTTCTCTTCCCATGCTTATCAAATTAAAATCTTACGTTTAGATTGAAACAAATGGTTTAACGACTCTGTACACATGCATTGAACAAAAGTGAAATGCATTGGTGGGAATGTGATCATGATGTACTTCAAGGCAGTTGATTGAAAAAAGTAAAGGGGATGTTCCATGACCTGCTTGCTTGAAGTGTTTGTCCATTGTAGGCAAGAGAAAGAGAAGAGAGACTTCCTAAACAATGGACATTTTGTTGATGGAATACTTGTTGTGAGCACTTGTAACTAGACATATAGCTTCCTTTGCCTTTCTTCTGTCTTTTACCATATAACATGACTTGAAATGCTATATTATTGTGATTTATAAACCCGGTGTGATATATTGTTGTGAGTTTTATGTAAATCTTTACATATTAATACTAGTTTTACTAAGCTCGCATATTAGCGGCCGAGTGTTGTTGGTGCAATCCATCTATATTATCAGGTAGCCTTTTGTATATCGTTGTTGCTTTTTGTTTCAGCGAAAGTTTTTGCTTTTTGTTGCTTAACGTTTCTTTTGTGTCATTATGTTTTATTGTTGTCTATAGGTGATTTCAATTTTTGCAGTTTTATTTATTAGATGTATGTTTATCTTTGCTACTTCATTGAAGTAAAAAATCATATAAAGACTTGTATTCATAACCTAAAATGATAAATTTGGATTTTATGAATATAAACCAACCACATAAAGTGATAAAACATAATGAAACAATAAAAAACAAAAAATTCATAGTTATTATCAACAAAAAGAAACAATATTCAACAGAAAGAAACCGTTAGCACAGGGGCGGAGCCAGAAAAATGTGTGAGGGGTCAAAATTTAATTATGTATAGTATCAAAACGATGGATAGTTATTATACAATGCTTGAGTTAAATGTTTCATATGTAGCTCAGATAAATGGTAGTTTAATGATATTTTTTCGGTTAATGTATTGATATATATGTAATGTATCATAATGTTCACACAACTTTTATGTTTTAATTATCTATGAAATATGAATTGCACTAAACGAAGCAAAGATAGAATCGGAAAGCTAGTCCTATTTAAGGAAGTTTGAAATTATAGTCATATTCTTTCAATTAAAGTTTTATTAATTAAATATAATTTGAGGAATGTCCCCAATATTTTTCTCTTTTATTAAAAATTCAAAGAAAAAAGATAAACAAGTAGCCCGAAAAAAATTATAAAAAGAGACTACAATGAATAGAAATAAATAAAAAAGAAAGAAAAATTTAGGAAGAAAAAATAAAAATCGTATGTGGGACTGTTTCGAGAAGATTTGTAGAAGGTGAGATTTATGGCTGAATGATTTTGTAAAGAAAATGAAAAAACCTGGAATAACTGGTCATCAAATGTTGGATTATTCCTGAATTATGATAATGTGAGATTATTGTAAAAAGACCGTTAAAAGGTTGGATTATTAGTTTCCATTTTCCCATATTTATATACATATTTACAGAAATTAGTTTTTTTAATTTGTATATATTTTGACTTCTTAATAATAACTGATTCATAAAAGTTTCAATTTCCTTTCATAATTTTTAATATTTTCCCAAAGATTTTCTACAATTTTTTAGAGTTTGTATAAATTTAACAAAGGTGTAAATTGAGTAGCCTAGGCCCTGGTGCCCGCACACGTATTGAACAGTTTTCAATCCCAGACCAGACTACACCAGACTTAAACAGACCAGATCAGACTTAAACAGATCAGACCAGACCAGACTTCCGTAGTTATAAAATACACAGAAACTAGACATTTACCATCCTATACCAGTTCAGATCAGACCATATCAGACTTAAACAGATTAGACCAGGTCACAGTCACTAGATCAGCAAATTACGGTCCAAGTAAAAACTTTCTGAGTATCATTTCAGGAGGCTTGTTCAACGTAAATGAACCATTTTTAAAATGAAAAATTTATAGTTAATCTATTTTTGAAAAGAATTTTAAAGAGTGAAAAAAGTGATGCTAGTATTAGTTTCTCTTTTTAGTCAATATTAAGGGTCATTATAAACGGGCCGGTGTAGAATGAGATCTGAGAGTCCTGTAGAATGAGATTTGAGAGTCGCTCATTTGCGTGCGCATTCCAACCCACAAACAATCGCGGGCTTTCCAAATTCCGTGACGGCAACTCAACCCTAATCGCTGTGTAGCGCTGTAGATTCAGACGAAACCAAAGAAGCGGATATTTGCTCAAATATCGAAAGCTTTGATCCTTTCAATTGGTGTCTTACTCCCCTTCAGTTATCGGCGTAATTTGAGATTGGATTGCAGAAGCACGAAGAGGTAAAGAGAAGCAGTAGATAAAGGATGGGGAAGAAAAAGAAGAGGACATCAGATAAGGTATGGTGCTACTACTGCGACCGAGAGTTTGATGATGAGAAGATTCTGGTGCAGCACCAGAAGGCCAAGCACTTCAAGTGTCATGTCTGCCAGAAGAAGCTGTCTACTGCCGGCGGCATGGCCATCCACGTCCTCCAGGTCCACAAAGAGTCCGTCACAAAGTCCGTAATTCACATTAAATTAAATCACTTCATTTTATTGACTATACCATTGCTCCATATGTGCATGTTTAAAGCTCTTGGGAATTTGAGAAACATTTAACCGTTACAAAAGGAGTTTTACTAACCCAACCAAGGATGAATGGAAGATAGTTTTTTGGGCACAAAGTTCTCTTTGGTTTTTGATATATCGTTTAAGTAGCATTATTGATAGGAGGAGGATTACGAAGTAGACGAAACACAATAAGATTTTCCATTAAGAAAATAGGCAGGTGAAAAGAAAGTTGGACAGAAATTGGGACACTGCATTAAGAATTGTCATTAGGTATTCTGGTCACAACTGAAACTAAATCCAGCTTTTTAGAAAAACTAATCATTTGGTTAATGGAAATTAACTAATAGCTAATTAAACCTTAGTAGCCTCCCAAACATCAGCTGCAGCAGCTATGATCAGTTGGTGGCTCCTTCAGAAACTATCATGTGGGCAGATGATGATTTAACAATTAGAACGTTCATATTTAGTTGAATTGAACATTTAGTTGTAATATACGTAGTACTGTTTAAGCGGATTTTCTGCAAGATCTCTAGTTATACCACTCCCACCTAAGAAGAAGAAACTGGAGTAGCTCATAGTCTGTTGGACTTTTGGTTTTTTCTGTTGTACATGCTCGCTGCTTTCATGGATATCTCATATAAATTGTATTGGGCTTTAATTATAATCTATTGATTACAAGTTAACAAACTTATTAAAAGCTCTCAAAAGCGCGATTAAGCGACAAAGCGCAGGCGAGCGCATCACCTGCGCCTGGCTTTTGAGAAGCGGTTGGGAGTGAGATAGCGTCGCTTTACAGTCGCCTTTCCGGAGCTCGCTTGGGAGAAAAGCGTTCGCTTTTCATCGCTTCTCACAGAAAACGGTCATTTGACCAGTCAACTTTTTTTTAGATTTAGTTTTATCTGCCTGTCGCTACAACTTAGGGTTATCTAGGAGAGTCATTCGACACTTTCGACACTCCACACAGCCGCAGGCCCGCAGGTGAAGACTGAAGAAGTGGGAGGTGAAGAAGCCGCCGGTGAAGAAAGAGGCAGAGAGTTCGCCTCTTCGCTCACACTTCCCTCCGGATAGAAATCGCCCACTCGCAGGTGAGCCACAGGTTGTGTTTGGACTCTTTCATCAATAGTTTCTTTCCTTGTATATGAAGTACTCTGTTTTTTAGTTTGATATCCTTTGGTCTTTCCTTGTTACAGAGAACATCCTCTGCTTTCTATCTGTTTGAGACTTTTGTTTTTTTTAGTTTTTAAGTTTTTTTTGTACCTTGTTTGTACCTTGTTTGTAGAGAGTACCAGAAGGTTTTGTTTCAAAGAAGTGTTTCATGTTTATGGGTCAGTGTATGTTTTGGAACTTGAAGAATCCTTGTACCAAAAAATGGGAAGAACTAAACTTTGTCTTTTTTTTCCCTCCTGATTTTTTTCGAGAAGGGTTTAGAATTTCATATACAACTGTGCTTCAGCGCTCTTGGAATTTAATTGCTTTCTCACTCAGCTTGAGTGTTAGTGGGACTTCTAATCTCCCCAGATGTTTTGTATTTTGAAGGGTAATTTTTATTTTAATTATTGAGTATAGTAATGCCAAAAGTTTATTCCTTTCACTTTATTGATTAATTAATTTTTTGTTCATTCCAATTTATGCCCCTTTTAGTTTATTGATTAATTAATTTTTAATTCATTCCAGTTTATTGCTTTTAGTTTATTGATTAAATAATTTTTACTTAATTACTTCATTTCAGTTTATTTCTTTCCTTTCATCTCATAACTATTTTTTAGTTTATTCCACTAAGTAATAAGGTCTCCATTGCTCTTTGTAGAAAAAAATGTCTGGAGAACAATCTAAAAGTCAGGATCCTGCATGGGAGCATGGGTTAAGGGTGACTTTTATGATTAGTTATGAAGGTTTTGAAACTTTATGCCGCACTAGTATTATTTTGAATGACTTTTATGACTACTAATGCATTTTTGGCATAATTATACATTATATTACATATTTTCTTTTATTTTTTTAAACATCGCTTTTTGTGAGAAAGCTACGCTTCGCTTAGCGCTTTCGCTTTTAAGCAAAGCTCAAGGTCATCGCTTTTGGCCGCTTTTCGCTTTAAAAAAGTTTGCAAGTTAATAAGTTCACCTTAGAGTGACACAAGCGTTTCTCATGATTTTTATTCTCATTATTAGTATTATTATTAGATCGTAGTAGTTTCATAGTAGTATTGATTTTTGTTATTTCCTTATTCAGTTTTAGTCATCTACTTATTAGTGTAGTTCTATGTTTTCATTATGACTAGGCCTCTTGCGGTATTCACACAAGGGTCATTTGTATTATTTAATTAATTTGACCCCCGAACCGGTAGCACCCACACATGAAACTCCACTTCAGCTAGCCTCATATCTTCTACTGCTGCGAGAAAAGCAAAAGTCAAATGCTTCATAAAATGTGATAACATTGTGGCCTTGATGCAATAACCACCTGTGACCCTCCTGCTCCCTCACCACCCATGCGTCCACCTTGTCGTGTCTGCTAATACTGTCACTTAGCTGCTTTATGTTTTGTCGGTTCACACTTTTTTCTTGAGGTACTTCAAGAATGCAACCACTGGAGACCAGATGATTACGACGAGGAAATGCTGCACTGGCAAAGTAGTCAAAATCGTAAAGATCACCAAGGTGCTAGAGTCTTATATCGTATGTGGTACAAACAGCAAAAAAAGCGCACACTTGACTCATTCAAGGCACAATTTTGAAAAGATCATCTATACTATTTTAGATGTATCTTACATCATATATTCAAGAAATAATTACATATTTATGACTAAAATAAAGATTGTTTACAAAAATGAGACTAGTGACTAGAGTGTTAATGAAATCATACTAACTTATGTTTAATTTACAAATTTAAGTTACCATGACACTACATTGTAGTAACTATTATTCATATTTGTGTAAATAAGTTTTATAATTTTATTTTAGTATTTTTTTTGAAAAAATCCCTATATTCGATATAAAATTATTAAATTAAACTATAAGCCCCAAAATGACAATATTGATTTCATAATTCATGATAATCATTAATCAATGCAAATTCAAAAAACAAAGTCATGATTTGCAAAAATGAATCACCAAATTCAGTACTCATAATTTAAATAACAATTAATAAAACTAAAATTGCAGTTTTTTTCCTATCATCTGCCTTACATTCTACATATTTCTAGTAGATCTCATATGTTTCGCGCTATTCTACTAGTAGATATGACATAGTTCCTAGTAGATCTCACAGGTCTCTTGCTATTCTACTAATATCCCCCCATGTCAAGCACCAGCTTCATCATCATTTAAGGAAAAAAACTGCCAAGACCTTCAAAATTGTCACTAATAAGTAATATTATTCAAGTCCCTGCACCATGTCATACTGTCTTGTGCCGATGGTTTTGCCATTATGCCTTGTTACTTGGACGGTATGACCCACTGATGTCTAAATATGAATATGGGCTTCTGGAAAATTATTCACAAGTCATTGTGATAAGTAAATTCAGATTAAAATCCTTATCCGATCTAGGCGCTTCATGCACTTTTCAACACCCGACACAGGTAATTCTTAAAGCGCACACTCTTAGTAGTGCATTGGATGGTGCTCTTAAGCTCTCAACTGCTCACTTTTGACTGCCCTGTGCACCGGTACCCCAATTTTCTAAATGGAGAATCAAGTTTACTGACCATCACGTCATTAAAAGTAGTCGCTTGATTATTGGTTCCCTAATGATGCCATTTGATCCCGGAAAGACTTAGCATTCCATACTTAATCTTCTTTAAAGTTTCAGGACAAGCTTGATGTCCACTAGAGGAGTAATGATACGGGCAAGCTTGATCAAAATTACTGTTAATTAAATAATATTGATAATATCGTCATCATCATTATTACTATTGGTCAGTAGTAGTTTCTTATCAGCTTCTTATTAGTCTATAGCTATATGAAGGTCTCTAATATTGTGTTATGAGTTTCCTAACCTTCCTTTGAAAATTAACTCTTGCGCGTCTTGACGAGATTAGGCACACATTAATTCTGTCTTAAACCTATGCTAATTCTCCCTCTCTCCCGTTCTCTTTTCCCTAGATCTGAAAGAGTTCCCAAACACACTCATAACAGAAGCATAGAAACTTCTGACAGCTCACCTTTCGTTGTTTCAGCAACATCAGGGAAACTCGAGTACTTGAATTTCCCATTTTGGGCCATTTGCGTAAACAAAAAGAACTTGGAAACCCTTTTTCCAAAATAGTTATTTTTTCAAACTTTTGAGTTTTTAATGTTTTCCTTTCAACGGGATTACATCATCATTTTCATCATTTTCATTTACCCCAGTGCCGCAAAGGCTCCCACCTACGGTGGGGTAAGGGGGGTCGGATGTGCGCAGTCTTACCCCTATACTAAAGCACAGAGAGGCTGTTTTCGGATGACCCATAGTGAAAATCGCGTCCAAAATTGCATGGACTGACTGCTGCTTCATTACAAAGAAGCGCAGACAATTTAGTGAGCCATTTTGCTTTATTCCATCATAATCTCAAGCCAAAAAATGTTGAGGGAAATGCATGTTGAGGGAACTGTAATGAATTATTTGATTGGTTTTTTCATAACAATTTTGTGATATTTCATAGCACAATAGGTAACTAAAAATGTATAGTATTTTACTTTTAATTTCTACTATTTCTACTAATGTAATAATTTTTATATATTTGAACATGTAGACTATTTTTACTTTTTATCATTGGATATTCCCATAGCCCAAGCTGCTTGATGCACATTGGCATCCCTGCAAGGCAAGGGCTCGGGAAGGGTCCCACCACAAGGATGTATAGGGGACAAGCCTTCCCTTGTCATATTGACAAGAGGCCGCTCCCAAGACTTGAACCCTGTGACTGTTCTGTCACACGGGGCAACACAGTAACTGGTGTGCCAAGACTCTCCTTCACATATGCATACATATATATTAAAAATTAAGTTTGCACTAAAAATTATGTTTACACATACATGAACATATATACACACATGTATCTTTGTATTTTAAATATTTATGTTGTCAGCATTTTTGCTTATCTGTGCTATGTAGAAGTTGGAATATATTACCAATGCTAGTACATCATGTTGGTTTCTGGCGCTAATACAGTTGTTGAATGATCATATATGATATATCCAGGGTGCCAAATGCAAAAGCTGGCAGGGAATCAACAGATATTGAAATATACGGAATGCAAGGTATCCCGCCAGATGTTTTGGCTGCTCACTATGGAGAAGAAGGTTTGTGTTCATGCAATTTTTTATCCACCTATAAATTGCACCTGCACACTTCCCCCTAGGATATGATACATGGTCCGAACTCCGAACACTTAAATGTAGAAGCATACTTTACATATTTGTAAAAATTCTTATGTACTCGTACTTTTTGATATATACTGTTTATAATAGCGGTAATTATATTTATCAATGGTAATTATATTCATTCATATTTTAGTTGTTATAATAATATCCATTAAAAGTTTTTTTTTGACATTTTAACATAAGTACATAACTAAATACAAAAATAAGCTACACGACCACATATAGAATGATTGCATCTCAGTGCATAAATAAATGTCTAATGCAATACATTTCAGGCCACACACTGCATTGTGAAAATCGCAGTGTGTGTTTTTTCAAAAAAATACCAGCAACTACGTCTGAAAACACTAACTTGAAGGAATTTGAAGAGATTTCTTGAAAATAACTATTTTTCTTAAAGAAACATCTCATCAATCAGTGAAAGAAATTGTTCCATCTGAAGCAGTCTCCACATTATAGAGAGAGTAGAGACAAAGGAAGTCTCATGAATAAGGAAGTATCTGCTTATGTCATTATGAAGAAGTTGCCGTTGAGGGGACACAACGCAGTGAGGCACACAATGGAGCAATCTAACTTAATCCAAAGGTTAGAGTTTTGTATCCGGAGATCCAGGATTGCTGAAACACAAATTAATTAGGGTAGCAGATTTTTGAATTCATTAATTGTAGATACATGAATTTGAAGTTCCTGAGTTTCCAACACATTCCTGAGCATCCGATATGGCAAAACGTATCTGAGCGTCTGATAAGCAAAATGCGTTGTTTCCATGCATCTATGTTTTCTTCTTCGATCCATTTATTTCAGACTTGAGTTTATTTTTTATTTCTTAGATATTTGGCGTTTGCTGTGTTGTGTACAAAACACATAATATTTATGAATATCCCAGTTTGAATTTTATTTCATTAAATATGTGTCTTCGGTTCATGCACTAATTGATCTCTAAATATACTCGGTAAGAAGTCTGATCATAATTTGTTGTGTTGCAGACGAAGGGGCTCCTTTAAAAGCAGCCAAAGCAGATGTTTTGGCACCGCAGTATGCTGGAGGTGTTGTTCCAGGGGCATTGCCTGCTGCTTATCCTCCCCTAGGCACAGTTCGACCTCTGTATGTTCTATAATTTTTTAAGCATCTTATGGCATTCGGTAAACACAACATTTGTATTTGATATCCGCATCAAATTTATATTAATGATTTAATGCCCATTGGTTTCTTAGTATACTGGGATAGCTTGTTCCAGTAAAGAGCAAATATGGTTGTAGCTAGTAGCTACTAGCAAAAAAGTACTCCCTCCGCCCCCCTATAATTGTCCCATTTTTCCATTTTTGGATGTCCCCCTATTATTGCCCCATACCATATTTGGTAACATTTGTGTGGCTCTAATTCATTCTTACTTTATTCCCACTTTATCAACTCATTATCAACCACATAATTCTACTTTTCTTAAAAACCACACCACTCTCTTCCGTCCCAATATTAGGGGGACGGAGGTAGTAATATTTACTTGTGTGAGATTGGTTTGCCACTTTGTCCTCTACCTGTGTTCTGTAAGTAGAGTGACCATACTTGTTACGGCGTCGCCTAGGCGTCGCCGACTAGGCGTCCTGGCGCTAGGGAGTTATCGCTGTCTTCACTCGCCTCGCCAGAAGAAGAATAGTCGCGATAGGCGTCCTCCAGGCGTCGCCTAGGCGCGATTTTGCGACAAGTCGTCGCCTTTTTTGCCAGTCAACAACCGTGCAGGCTCAGAAAAAAATAGATTTAGGCTTTTAATTGAAAACAAAGCCCAAAGGTATCTGATAATCTTACGGGCTATTTGTTTCCATCTTCGAACTCAAGTCGTAGAGACTAGCAACTCCAGGAAGCAGGAGAGCTTGCGCGTCTCGCCCTCCCTCAGTCCCTCGCGTAAGCATATTTGCGTTGAGGAGACGACCAGTACGCTCTATTTTGTTTCTGGTCTAGTGGAGTAATATTTTAATTAATTAAGTTGTATATTTATATAAATACGTATATACAGAGTATTTTGTAAACATGGTATGCGTAATTATGCCCAAATATATTTTATACTTTACTGAGTTTACGTAGTTTAACTGTTTGTTAATTATACAAATATATGAAAAATGTAAATAATTAAATACATACTTTACTTTTTGTAATATATTAGTAATATATAAAGAAATACAATTTAATTAGTAATGTATTATATTATATATATATATAATTATATATATAATAAAATATAATATAGAATGTGCGACTAGTCGCCTAATTGTCGCCTAGGCAGGCGCCTTATTGCCTAGGCGATAAGGCGGTCGGCTGGCGCCGCGACTCGACTTACCGTCGTGACAAGCATGAGAGTGACTGATCTTTTTGATTGAGTTCCCTGGGAGTTACCTGCATTGTAATGTTCTTGTCACATCCATGTGAAATTACTACGGTTGTGTATTAATGTGCACTCTGCACTTAGGAGTATTCTCCCTCCGTCCCAATGGTTCGCTGTTTGTCTTGGCACACTTATTTAATACTACCTCCGTCCCTCTAAGATTAGGACAAGAGGGAGTGATGCAGTTATTAATAATGACCTACTCAAATTACCAAATATGGTATGACTTATGAGATAAACTTAATGGGACGGACGAAAAAGTTAAAATGGGACAAAGATAGGGGGATTGGGGGAGTATTAAAATTTGTGTGGCTGAGATGAATCCTGACAAGAAGAGAAGTAATGTAAACTAAATTTTGTTTAAGGAAACAAAAACCTAATTTTAGGACGGACATGAAAAGGAAAACAAGAACTTTATTTTGGGATAGAGAGAGTAGTATAGATAACTATATATAAAGAAATCATGCAATGTTTTTCTCATAGGAGGACCACTTTGTGGTAATGTGATATGAACTTTATGCATCAACCAGTTTTTTACACCCTTCATGTTTTTCTTTTCTATGCTTCAACCATGGCAGCTGGGAATACTCGCACTCCTGTTTATGTGGGAAGTTTTAGTATTTTGATACAGATAGTAGTATCTAACTACACATGTTGGCTGAGCTATTGCAGGTATAATACTGGTGTTCCTATGCCTCGTGCTGGTTGGGCTGCACCACCACGACCTCAGCTGTGGTATCAACAGTATCCTGCTGTCTCCGTGCCACCACCCCCACCTATGAGCTTGCCACAGCAGCCCTTGTTTCCTGTCCAGAATGTTAGGCTACCTGTGCCATCAAATGCATCTCCTACTACCCTTCAACCTTCATTTGCAATCACCCCTCCAGGAATGCAGGCATCTACTTCTGCTTCTACAGTCTCTCAACCCTTGTTCCCTGTTGTTCCACCGAATGTTAATCCTTCTCAGAGCTCACCATTTTCTGCACCTAAACTCCCAACAAGCTCTTCATCTGAAGTGCAGAGCGCTGTTATCTCGAACCTTCCCAGTAGTACTCTTGCAGTAAATGGCTATCAGGCTGCAGGCATTCAAGGTCTTAATTTTTATTTCTTTAATTGGGCCGTGTGTTAGCTTTATTTCATGTTAGCCGACCCCAAAATCTTTTGGGAATAAAGCTTGGATGTTGTTGTTGTTATTGGTGTGTTAGCTTTATTTCTTAAGTAAATGTGGGTTCTAACTTCTTTTGGCATTGAGCCTTTGACATCATATTATTATTAACTTCAAAGTATTTCAGCCAATTTATGACGTAAAAATCGGATGGCTTTAGTGCATCCCTTAGGACTGTTACTTCGGTTGGGGGTTACTTCGTATTAAAACATGTCCCCCACATGAGTTTGACTTTAGAGGCTCTTCAGTTAGGGGTTACTTCGTAATTGTGTTGTTGGTTTAACTTTTTCATTACCAGCACACTGACTCATTGACTGCATTCTTGCACACACTACTTTAAGTGTATCTGCATGATTTGCAGTGTGAAAAAATGTTTGCATCCTTCAGGCTTTTTTCGAGTATAGGTTTGAGCTTGCAAGTTGGTTTTGATATAATAATTCGTTTATTGCAGCTGCAGCACCACTGAATTCACATTCTTATGCTTCTGGACCTAACACAAGTGGGCCTTCAATCGGACCACCTCCTGTAATCTCTAATAAAGCTCCTGTCTCTCAGCCAACAACAAATGAAGTCTACCTGGTTTGGGATGATGAAGCTATGTCCATGGTAAGTAGCCTTAATGTATTGTGCTCTGGAATTGTTTGGTTTAAAAATCTATCTCTTACTTCACTGTGCTTTGTAATATTTGTAGGAAGAACGAAGGATGTCTCTGCCAAAGTATCAGGTGCATGATGTTACTAGCCAGGTAAGTACCATTTAATGTGGTTATGCTATATGATTTGCACTCCTGTCCGGACGGATAGTAATTGTATTCCACTTAACCTCATTCGCTTGTTTACCGTTGTTCATGTTCATAAAGCAAGTTTGTAAGTGATTCCATTCTCTTTCAACTCTTTCCATATTTCAATACACTGTTTGATAAGCTTACACGGATAGGAGTTGCCGTCTGTATAACTAACTACAAGTGTTATGAACTCTCTACAAACTTAATCCATGCCGCCCTTGAGAAATGAAAATACCCTAATAACAATTACTTACGCTTGCATGTAAACAGATTTAGGTGCTATTGTTTTCCCTTATTTTTTGCCTATGACTTGGTCTTATTTTAACTAGACCAAACCATAAACATTCATATCAAATCATAATACCGCTGCTTAGAATAGTTGCAGTGACTTATATGCTATACATACTCTACTTTGACTACAATTTATATATAAATGCATTTGATTTTTTTTATGAAAAATCTTAGTAAATTTGTTTCATTGTAAATTAAAAAAATATTTTTATAATTCTATTAATAGCCAATTAAAAATATTAATAACTAAAGAAAGTATCAGACAATAAATTTAGAGAATATCAGAAAGCCACTGGACCTCATGAAATTCACATCAGATCACATTCTATAGGACAAAGATAATAGGTCCTAAGTTGTTACCTAGAAACTCTTAATGGTTTCTGTAATGGTAACTTATTCATTCGTAAATCTCTCCCTACAAATTTTTTCAGTAAAAAATGAAATAGAAGTTAGTGGTAGTAGTATGATGATCATCATATTGTAGCAACCAATCTACATTATTTACTATTCAGCCCTCTTGACTGTGAGCTATATTACTATCTCTTTTAATTCTTTGACATTCTCCAATTGGCTAGCAATCTCAACACTTTTATGGCCATCAGTGATTCAAGTACGTACTTTCATTATGATCCTTTTGCTAATAATTATATAATGATCTGGCAAGTATGCCGAGGAATCCTCAACATTTGAACAAAGTTGAAGTTTCTCACAAGTATGCTCTTTGTATTTTTATGTTATACAATCTGGGTGGAAGAACATACCCTAAAGATATTTGTGCATGCCTATTTTGTTGTTAAAATAAGGCTAATAGTGGTCGAACAGTGGCTCAAAACTTTGGCCCAGGTCAGATTCTTTTTGCAGATTTGTTATTGAAGCGGTCTGGTATTTGACTGGTTCATCACGCTAATTGCTAGTTGATTATTAAATCAAGTTCTAATTTCTTGTTTTGGTTTGCCCCATTTTTTCCCAGATGAGCTCGATAGATGCAGCAATTGACCGGAGAATATCAGAGAGCAGGCTGGCTGGACGAATGGCTTTTTAAGACCCATCAGAGTTTAGAATATATTCATCGACTCTCTTTGAATGCAAGGTTCTTTGCATCGTATGGCAAGTTCGAGCTAATGTATCTGCTGGTCACGCAAATCAACCCCAATACAATTTTATAGGTATTAGATAGATTGCTTCTTCTGCTCTTGCAATGATATCTGGTGAAGACCATTTATGGGTCTCTGGACCTACTTAGCATGTATTACAATGGCGTGGTGTAGCCAATGGTTTCCTCTGAAATTTACATTCAATTATTATATCATCTAAAAATTAAAGTATGCTTGTTGTACTTCTAAAGTAAAAAAGTGAACTACTCCGTAGATGGCTGATTGATTCGATTGTTTTTTATTTAATTCTGGACTAAGATGCTAGCAGCTAGCTATCACTTATCAACAAGGATCTTGAAGATGAAAATGTCAAGAATATATTGAAAACCATTAATCTGAGTGTTCGTTTGGCAGTTTGATGTGAAGTGTAGGGATGCCATCACTAGGTATGAAAAATAAAATACATTGTTTGGTATGGTCAAGTCTGTAACTAGTCATGGACTCGGGCCGGGGCCGGGCTGGGCCTCCGGTTTGTGAACAGTGGGCCTGGAACCGGCCTAAGGTACTGGCTGTTCCGGTTCGGGCTGGGCCACCTGCCTGGGTCACGGGTTGGGCCACCTGCTGTGCCGGTTCGGACCTAGGCAAATCCAATTTTTTTACCTAGTTGTACTTTATAGTACGGACGGACTCGGGCCGGGTGGCCCGACCCGGAACTGGCTTGGGACCAGTACTGTTCTGGCCCGACCCGGTGGCCCGGTCAGTGACCGGTCCGGGTAGGCCCGGCCCGTGGGTTTTCTGGTCCGGCCTCGGGTCACCCAAAACAAGGCCTGACCTGGCCGGGCTTGGGCCCCGTTCTGGCCAAAAACTATTTTTTTTTTCAATTTTTTTTAAATTTTCGGCTTGGGTTAGGTATTTTGGGCCATTTGGGGTGGTTTGGGGGGTTGGGGGTGGGAGGGGGGTTAATTAGAAAGAGGAAAACAAAAAAAAATGATAATGGGCCCGGCTTGGCCTGGACCCGGTGGTTACCCGGGCTGGTCCTGGGTCCACAATTTCTGAACCGCCGCCCTCGGGCCTAGGCCCGACCTTGGCCCGACCCGGATCCGACATCCATACTTTATAGTTTTATATAGGGGTCTTTCGGGCCCGGTTGGGCCACCGGTTCGTATCATATGGGCCTGGGACTGGCCCGAGGGTTTGACGGGTCCGGTTCGGTCCGGGCCACCCGCCCGGGTCACGGGTCGGGCCACCCGCTGGGCCTGGCCGGGTCGGTTAAATATTTTTTTTTGTTTTTATAATTTATATTTTATACTTTATAGTTTTATACAAATATTAAAAAACAAACTTCAAGTGCATTTATTTGAAATGAAATAGAAACTACATTTGAAAATTAAATAGGAACTACAATTGTTTTTAAAACATGAAATACTAATCAATCATTCAATCGGAATCTTCGGCATAGGTAGAGCCACCCTCGGTTGTAGATTCATCTATAAAGTGTTGGGATGAGATGATGTCAATTTCTTGAGCTCTACGGGCTGCTTTCAACCAATCGTGCCATCGTGGTAGCATATAAGCATCTCAAGAGATTCAGCGCTCAACCTCGTTCTGGTTTGTGTTAGGACATTGCCGGCCGAACTAAATTCTTGTTCCACGGCAATCGTTGAAACCAGCATTGATAGCACTTTTTTAGCCATCTTTGCTAAAACCAGGAACATTCTTTCTTTTCCTTTCTACCAGTTTAGTACGTCAAAATCATCATCTTCTTCAAAATCAACATCATAAGTTAAATACAAAGAAATCTCATTAATTGTGCTTTGTTGTGTAGCGGGAGTTGATTTCGTTTTTTAAATAAGATTGGCAAACGTAGATTTGAAAATTGATTTTCCTTTAGATGATGTTTGTGTCGGGGGAGGGAGCGCATTGCCATATTGTACATGAAACTCATTGAATAATGCATAAAATATATCACTAACCTCGTTGTATTCTTTTTTCGGATCAATTGGGTTGTCCTCATACATTGGCAATGGACAAAAAAAAGCAGCATAATAATTCAAACATTCTTCTAAAGAACCAAGTCTAAAACGAGGATCGAGAACAAATGCAATACCATAAATATGCGGAATATGTGAATAATATTTTAAAAACTTTTCCTTCATAAAACTAGCAAAATAACTCACATAATCAGCATTCTCAAAATTTGAAAAAGCACCGGCGAGATTAACAGCTTCACGAATAAATTGGTTTGAAGTAGGTTTATAAACATGACTAAAAGTTTCAGTTGCATTATTAAAATATATCAAAGCATTACAAATTTTTTCACAGATGTCGATCTCAGCCGAGTTTATAATATAGTTATCATATTGTTTCATAAAAGCAGGAAAATGTTGTTTATATCTACGAAGAACTCCAATTAACTTATAGGTACTATTCCAACGAATAGACAAATCTTTAGGAAAAGCCACATATCTCTCACCTCTTTCTATCAAATAATCATGCCATTTTTTCCTAAGTTGTCCATTACCCCAAATACGTCTAATCCCCCTCTTGACTACCTCCAACGATGCTCCCAACGCTTTTAGACCATCTTGCACACATAAATTTAGAACATGACATGCACATCGTTGATGAAAAAATCTACCCATCAAAGAAGTAGACCCACACAATTCACGCAATCTAGGACCGTTGGACCCAGACCCGGACCCGGGCCCGACACGGCCGGCCGGGTCACATTTTTTCGGAACCGTGCCCGCCCCGCCCATTCCCACCGGTTCGGGTCTACACCCGGTCCCGGACCGCCCGACCGGGCCGGTCCCGGGCCCGCACAGTACCGGGCCGGGCCGGGTGGCCCGAACCGAATCCACCCCTAGTTTTATACAACTATTAAAAACAAACTTTATGTGCATTTATTTGAAATGAAATAGGAACTACATTTGACAATTGAGAAAAAAATACAATATGAAATACATTTTGTAATCAATCAGAACTTCCCGGACCTCTCAGTTCTTTGGCTTTGTCACATGACTTAATATGCTTCCTTGTCATCTCGTATGCGCGTGAAACCTCTATGCTACACTTTTTCCCGCACTATTTGTAAGTTGTGTACCACATTCTAGTGGTGGACTCGGTTCGGGCCGGGCCGTGTTCGGGCCTTAAACCGGTTGGGCTTCGGTTCACGGAAGGCAGGCCTGAAACCGGCCCGGATAACCCCGGGTCCGGTCCGACTCGGGTCACCCGCCCGGTTCACGGGCCGGGCCCCCCGCCGGGCCGGGCCTTTTTTTAATTATATATTACTCCCTCCATCCCGGTCATTTCTTCCAGTTTTGACCGGTATCGCAAATTTAGGTAGTGGGAATAAAGTGAAAATGTATGGTTGTAGTTGTGTAAGAAAAAAGTGAATGAATGTGAACCACATATTTTTTCCAAAAGTGGAAGTTGGAAGAATTAATTGGGACGGCCCAAAAAGGAAAGTTGGAAGAAATGATCGGGACAGAGGGAGTATATTATTAGAATAATTCTTATTACAATTACAATATATTATGTTCTAATTCAAGTATATTTATTTCAAATAAGAAGTACAATTGAGAATTAGGATGAATTTAAAAAATGTAATACATTTTGTATACCCCACCCCACCCCACCCCACTCCCTAACCCCCCAGACCCCCCCTCCTATGCTCCCCACGGCTATAGAGCCGTTTGGGAGCTCTCCCAACGGCTATGGAGCCTTTAAGTATTTTTTTTAAATGTGACCGTTGCGGCCCGGCCCGGGCCCGGCCTGGTCGGGCCGGTTCACTAAATGCAGGCCCGGGACCGAACCGCTAGAAGACTGGGCCGGGTGGCCCAAACCGGGCACCAACCGGTTTGCATAAATTACATAATGTAAAATTAATTAATTAATTTTATGAATTCAGTAAAAAATGCTACATATAAAAAAATGAACGTACATTTATTTGAAATATGAACTACAAGTTTACAAGTTACAATTGAAGGTAAAATTTAAACATGAAATACTAATCAATCGGAATCTCCGACATAGGTAGAGCCACCCTCGGTTGTTGAATCATCCATAATTGAAGAATCAACAAAATTGGGATGAATAGAATTAATTGTTATTAATTAAAAAGAATGAACTTACAAATAATCTCAGGGTTCTTAAAGAAAACAACGTAAAAACGCAAGTAAATTCGTCCATAGGCCTCTCCGTAATGTTCGTAACTCTTAAATGGGAGCGGAGAAGCCTTGTTTATAGAAAAGGAGTAAAAATTCATCCAGGATTAGGGTTTCGGCGTCGGGCACGGTGCCAGACACGACTGTGCCTGCGCCCGTGCGACAGGAACACAACCGAGATTTCGCGTCCAGGCACGGAGTGCGTCCAGTTCCAAGCACGACCGTGCCTAGCCTCCAGCGGATCGATGCTTCAATACACTACAGGCATGGCGTGCGTCCCTTGCCAGGCACGACCGTGCCTGGGTTCCACCAACTTGGTGTCTCGATATACTACAGGCACGACGTGCGTCCCTTCCCAGGCACGGTCGTGCCTGGCCTTTTTTCATCGCCTGGTTATCTTCTAGGCACGCACGGCGTGCCTGGCTGCTGGGCACGGCCGTGCGTGACCTTTTCTTCATAAATTCTCTTCATTTCCTCTTCTAATGCTCCCGAGTGCTCCCGAATCGATCCGAAAGGTCTTCTCTTCATCAATTCTTCACTGTGAACCTCCGAGAGACCTCCAAAATTCTCGAAACTCTCTTGAATGCTCATAAGCTCTTCTTGATTTCTTCTCAAGCGCCGGTGCCAGATCTAATTATCTGATTTTGACTCCAAACAACATAAAACTCGAACAAACGCCTCGTACACATAACTTGAGCTAAAATTGAGATTTGTGACACCTAAAAGTTAGGAAGAACATCAAAACTCGATCCCAACACGCATCAAATGCGTGTTGTAATACGGACTTATCAATGCACTCATGATCCAATGTGAGATCAATGATACAATCATCCACATGACCTACGTCAACATAGACAGCTCTGTCAATGTAATCTACCTTAGTACATTCCGAGAGCTCCATCTGATGCGGAATCCCTTCGGCCGATCCAGACCCCTCTATCCGGATTCACCGGAGACACCATTGATTCCGAAGGGATCATATCCCTCCCGGTACTTTTCGACGACGGGCCCCATAGAGCCAAGCTCGAAGTGGAGTTCGTCGTCGTTAACCTCGATTGTGCTCACAACATCATCCTCGGGCGGCCTGCCCTCGACGACTTGGAGGCAATAATCTCCATGAAACACCTCTGCCTCAAATTCCTGGATGAAGGGGGCATCAGGTACTCAAGGGGAAACCAGAAACTCTCACATGCCTGCTACCTTCAGATAACAAAGAAGGTTAGCAAGGCCGAGTTCCGTGTGGATAC